CAACAACAAACAAAAACATTTTAGCCATATTGTTACGGCACAGGCTCAAAAGATAGCAGTATAGTCACCTGATATTTTCTATGCACTACACAGAGCTCCTGATTTTGAAAATTTGCACACAATTGGCTATAATGCCATGAAAATTTAGGAAAAAAGAATTTAAGAAAAAAGTGGATTCTTTGTCCGTAAGAGGTCTGATGCCTTTATAAGTTGTTTGACAGCACCATGATAATAATGTCATTAAATGGGTTACATTAAAATAATGTTAAATGCTGCAATTAGTTTTCCATTTAAGAATAATGAAACACTTTTACTGAATGGCAATACATTTTAATTTATTTCAACCAAAATATTTGTTAATCTACTGAACCTTTATCTACTGTTTTTTTTAGTTGACAACACTGGTCTAACTGCTGTAGTGCTGTGCTATAAAAGATGCAAGTTTTTTACATTCCTTCAAGCAGTAGGGAAAGCATGGCTGACATTATAAAAAATAAAGTACATGATATTTTATAATACACTCATAAATGCAGTTTTCATGAACGGCTAGAGTCATGGAGACCCTTCATCTTGCCTTTAGTCCACAAGGACACAAAATATAGGCACAGATTTAAAATATTTTTCTCCATCAGTTAAACACCTATTATTATGCTGGAAAAATGCTCAAATAATTTTGGGATGAAGGGGTTACTAGATCTGTCACTGATACTGTGAGTATCAATTTACTGTAGTTGTGTGGTGTTTTATCTAGAATAAAAATAAGCTACAGTCATTTAGCATCCCTAACAGAAATGATGCAATATGCATAAATTGTGTTTATGCTGTTCATCTAGACAGGTGAAGACTGACAGGAAAGCTGTAAGGTGAGGTCTGAGAGCTACACAGATGTGTGCACTTAGTAGCCAGTGAAAGATCTGCATCAGCAGCAACTGAAGTGTTCTTTGCATGCAGTGGCATAGGTATACTGGTATGGGCAAATTTGCATTTGTGGTTTCATATTATGTGCAACGATACTACTCCCTCTCCCTTCCTTCCTCGCTTTCTCTGTCTGTGTTTCACTGATCTGCAGAAACTTTCTGTGAGAGGCAGAGCGACAGCTTGAACAACTCGGAGCAGAGTGATGGACTATGTATAACTCAAGAAGTTTTAGCCTGAAGAGGAATAAAGTGCAAAATCAACATACGTTGCCACAGTTTCCTGCACATGCATGCATGGAGACACTCAATTAAAATATGTAAAAAAAAAAGAATAATACTTTGATTCAAGTTCAGCAGGTCTGCTGTGGTGGTTAGCTGTTGAAAGACCATACCATTTAAAAACAATGTAACTTTCAGGTCCTGTTCTTGTTTAACTGTAGAGGAATGTTAAAGCTGCAATCATGGATATGTGTGTGTGTGTATATATATGTGTATGTATATATATATATATATATATATATAATTTTATTTAAAGCCTATAAATATCTGTTAAAATTTAATTTTGGGAAAGAAATACATAGTTGTGCAAATTAGGGGGATTTGTGTAGGTTTCTTTTAACAAGGAATCCTCTAAAAAATATAGCTGAACAGATCTGCAGCATTACAGTGTTGGTTTCAATATTTTATTATTCAAAAACCATGTAGAGGTGATGATAATACCACTGGACCGCCTGGTTCTGCTGTCTGCCTCACAGACACCCTGATAGTGAAAAGTGGGAAGAACAGGTGATATAAGAGCCAAACTAGAACAGAACCCTGCAGTTCTGTGTATTGTTCTGGTAAACTAGATTTTACCAAGACGCATGGGGGGGGGGGATTTGAATAGACTAAGACCTGGTAATGGATTCCTTGCATCATTTTTTTCTAAGTGTTAGAGAAAAGCAAGAGAGCCACTTTTCATAGTTTATAGTTTTGTCATTTCTGTGCTCTGTTTGAATGTGCTGCTGTTATTGTTCTCTGCTCCTCGTGTTTTCAGTGAACCTCCAACCAGTCTAACAAGCTGTTAGAGGAGGATCACGCTGACCCTGGTCCTTTTGTCCATCTCTTTCCCTTTCCTGCTTCAGCAGACCTCACTGTTCTCTGTTATCACCTCCTACAGGCTCTTTTCTGCTTCTTAGGGAACCTTTTGACAGATGTCTCACCTCTTTGTGTGTGCTATTTACTTAGTATTGGTGTGTAATGGTGTCCTAAGATACTGTTGCCCGAGTGTTGTCCTTGGTGTCTGTTCCATTGCTGCCCTTTGGACCCCAATAACCACCTCATGTCAGGAGCTCTTCAGTAAAGCATTGCTTTCCACCCTTTATTTGTGCCTCTTAGGAGCTTTGCATTCTTCTTGCTTCTATTTTAGAGTTTCAAATTGCCTGCCTAATGTAGTCTGTCTCTCTGTGTCATATCTTAAACTTAAGAAATCACCTGCGCCTAGTTGCGTATTCAATCAACGCAGGTGATGAATAAGAAGGGGACTGGAGGCTATAGGTGGAAAACATATTTTGGCTATGCACAGACAGTGTTTTCATTCATCTCTAACCCAAGTAGTTCTGCATCATTCCATTCATGCTGTTGTGCAAGACTAAAATTTTGCCAGAGCATGCCAAGGCCCGAGCACGGGGGGCACAGTCACAACAGTCTTATGTATTATGAACTTGAAGCTTTCTATGATGTGCTTTGAGCCCCTTTGAATTGTATCATGCTTTTAATACATATATGACTACATCTTACATATAGAATAAAAAGTGAAACCAAGCACGTCCCCCTCCTAATGTGATGACAGTCTGTGAAGCTCTTAAAAGTGCTCTGTAGCAGTGGTTCCCAACCTGGGGGGCCTGACCCCCATGGAGGGGGTGGGGGGTATATTCAGAGAGCACTGGGGGGGGGGGGGGTCGCATAATATGTCTGCTTAGAGGTTGTAAAAATATCAGTTTATTGTCTGTGTAACAATTTTAGAAAATAGGCTTTTATTTTTAATTATAATGTTTGAAATTTCACCAAATCCTGATTAACACTAAAAAAAAACTCATTTTTGTTATGTTTGAAGAGTTTTCTGTAACATATTACGTTAAAAACTAAAATCTGTACTGTACTTTGCGTCCGGCTCTGTTTGGCAGCGCGGCTGCCTGAGAGGAGGTAGGAAGTTATCGTTGTTCTTGGTTAAGCTCATGTATCTTAAATATATAACATAAATGTAAGCACATGCAGTTGTGAAAGTTTAAATGTGTAAAAACACACAGAGGAGTCACTCTTGTGACAACATAAGAACATTTTTCCCTAGTTTAGAACAGGCATTGTTATTATTACTATTGGTGATGGTGAATGTCAGGAATACATTCAGAAACAAGCAGTTGGCAAAAAAGGTCTCCTGACATGAGAAAAGCCTTTGGAAGTGCAGGTAGTGATTTGCATAGAGCTACAGAAGCATCTTTTGAGTGTTCCCTTTTCTTCGCTAAGGCTAAAAATCTGCACGATATTGGAGAAACCTTCTGAAACCGACCTGCCTGAAAATTGTAGAGTTGATGTGTGGAGCTCGTGCAGTGGATAAAGTGACAACTGTCCCACTCACTAACACAGTCAGAGTCAGTCAGAGTCAAAGATCTTTATTGTCATTTCTTTCTTGTCATATTGTCAAGGACATAATAGATAAATTAGCTGAAAATTGCAAAAATTATCTGCATGAAAGGATCAGGAAGCTATCTTGACAAAATTACAATTTATTTTTTTAAGACTGTTTTTAAGATTATTCTGTTAGTTTTTAAAGAAAAGTTATGTGAGTAGTTCTCAAAACGGTCTACTTTGTAGTTGTTATTTCTGTTGTACTACTACTACTATCCGTTCAACCGTGGTCGATTCTCGGTCACTGGTTGGATCAACGTTCTCCATCTTTGACGATCATGTACAGCTTCTTTTATTTCGGCAAATGTCAGGTTTGCATCCTGTTTAATGGTGTCAAGCCAGCGAGTTCTTGGTCGGCCTTTTCCTCTATGTCCGCTAACCATTCCGAGCATGATGTCTTTCTCCAAGGAGCGGCTTCTCATCACGTGGTCAAAGTAGGCTAATCGCTGTTTGGTGATTCTGGCTTCTAACGAGAGGTTTGGCTTGATTCGCTCCAGGACTTTGAGATTGGTGATACGTGCTGTCCACAAACTTCATAGGAGTCTCCTCCAACACCATAGCTCAAAAGCATCAATTTTTCTCCTGTCTGATTTCTTCGTGGTCCATGTTTCGCTTCCATATATCCCAATTGGAAACACAATTGCATTGACTAATCTACATTTAGTTTGGAGGCTGATGTCTGTTCTGTTGTACAAGTACTAGTTTATACATTTTACAAATTAAAGTTTGTAACTATTTACTTTATTCTTTTATTATTTACTGTTCTTTATTCTATATTTAACGACTGTTACTTGTAATATTTACTTTATTCTTTTATCACTTTGATAAAATGATTAATCTGATTGAGTCTTTTAGGAGAGGGGAGTAGCGAGGGATTGGGGGTCTCAGATTGGCTAGGAAGTAAGAAGGTGTGTCTTTAAGGAAAATATGTTGGGAACCACTGCTCTGGAGTGTTAGAGAGCTGAATCACTGTGTTCTTGGTTATTTTAAGCACTGTCCAAAAGGTAAACTTGCAACACATTAGTCTTTTTGACAGAACATAAAAATCAATTGCAGTCTTCACCTAAGCTCAGGTGAAAATTATTGTGTATTCTAGTGAACGTTCCTTTTGCTTTAGTTTGCATCTGTTTTGATTTGTGACTGTGGTCATAAATAAGAAACTTTCAACATATATCTGTACTTCAACTTATGCCCCAAGTATGAGCACCAAAGTAACTAACAGTGATTTATGTTGCGCTTCTTAAGTATTTTAAATTATTTGCAAAGAAGTCACCCTTGGAACTACCCAACAGTGCCTTCTGTTGACTCCAGCTTTCATAGAACAATTATCAAGGCCACTAAGAAATATGCAACAATAAAAATATGCTTATCAAAAGTTTGAGATAAAAAGGATCCATGTATTTTCTGTGTCTGCAGGGCTCCAGAGATCATCCTTGGCCTGCCGTTCTGTGAGGCCATCGACATGTGGTCGCTGGGTTGTGTAATAGCTGAGCTCTTCCTGGGATGGCCTCTTTACCCCGGAGCTTCAGAGTACGACCAGGTAACACGTCGTGATTGTGTGACCCAGTAAACAGTCCAAAATGTATTAGATAGACGAGTCCTCATGAGTACATGTATGAGCAGTTTTGTTTACGTGTATGACTGTGTGTGTCTTTGAAAAGTTAATGCTCCATGAACTCACTTAAATCAGGGTTTGTCAGACTTTTAGGGTCTGGGAACCCCTTACAGGGAAGAAAAAATTCCAGGGACTCCATCATAAACTTAATGCTGATTGAAAACTGTTATTTTAACCAGAAATTGCCATGGATTTTTTATTTTATTTTATTTTATTTTTTTGTGGGAGGGGGCATGTTAGGTACTGGTATGTGTGCTTTACTACATTGTGGCTGCGGTAGCTTGGTGGTCAGTGCCATGGTCTTGTAATCCTGAGGTTGCGGGTCTGAGCCCAGGTTGTGTCAGTAAGGACATCTGGCGTAAAACAATTGCCAAATCTTTCACGTGAGTTAGCTCGCTCTGGCAACCCTTGAAGAAGTGAGCAGCTGAAAGAAACGTACTTATTCTGTTTGTTTTACTGTAGAATTGGTCTGTATACTGAGCTCAAATACTTTGAATGTCTCATTTAAGAGTCAAATCTGACATGGGCTTCAAGTTTTGGTTTAATCAAATAAATCTGAAGAATATAAAGTCAGGCTGGATTATAAAACTTTCTAAAGCCTTGTGTCACCTGCAGATAACATAAAGCACAATTCCTGTCCTCCACAGTTGTAATGCTGCACGTATGGAAAATGTCAAATGCATGTCTCCGCCTCTGTCTTGCAGATCCGATACATCTCCCAGACGCAGGGTCTTCCGGCAGAGTATCTCTTGAGTGCAGGGACAAAGACAACCAGGTTCTTCAACAGAGATCCAGACTCCACTTATCCTCTCTGGAGACTAAAGGTATGATATGTTAAAAAAAAAAATTAAAAGAGGGGTGGGTGGGGGGAGATAGAGTTAAAATGCACAAAAAAAGTAAAAAATATTTTTATAATAAAAAAAAAAAAATATATATATATATATATATATACATACATTTTTATGAATTAAAAGAAAAATTAAATGTTAAGTACTGTTTTTAGTATTATTACTTAAAACAGTAATCAAATGCAGAAAATACTGTAATAATCAATATTTGCTTTTTTCTGTAAAGCTATTCCAGACCTACCGGTAGTTTCATTCTAAATATAATATGTGGCATCTATACATATTCCCACTTACTGAGGCAACTCTAAATGTCAGTATTTATTTCACTAGTTTCAGATGTAAGACATAGAAGGCTGTGATGCTACCTGTATTTTGAAGTGAGTCTAAATAAGAAGAAAATGGTCTGTGTGGGAACTCTGACAGTGTCTGCCTTGACCCTCCATCACTGACCTTCTATGCAGGCCACTCAGTAAGGAGCATTAACTTCATCTAAACTTCTGTGCGCCACACAGATTTTGCACAGAGTTCTTGACTTGTAATGAGTTTCAAATACTGGTCATTCTCTACAGTGTTTGATGAGGATTTTACTATATCTGTGTGTGAGCATGTGCTTTTATCAGAAACTGAATCACACCACAGAAATAAAGATAGGGACCGAGCTTTTAATGAACACCAGTCTGACGTGTAAATAGTAGTATTAATTGTGTCAATGCTTATGAAGCAAATATCCATACGTTTTTCAGCATCTTTAATGTTCCACAATTTTTGTGCTATTTCAACAAATCATAAATCAAAACATTCAGCTCATTCAGGACAATCCTGCTATGACTTCTGGTGTTGGTGCAACTTTAGCTTTTTGAAATATTTAGCCTTTTCTGCCATTTTTTTTCTCATAGACAATGCATTGAGCTCATTTTATATCCTTCAAGTCTTTAGATCTGTTTACAGCCTTTTACTGCTCCTTTCACATTTTGTTCTGCTTCAGCTTCTTTCAGCTTCCTTGTGCAAATTTAAACATTTTTAGCTACTTTCAGCTGTTTTTCAGCTGTTTTGTGCTCCTTTCAGATTCTTTCTGCTAACTACAACATTTTTGTGCTTCTTCTAATTTCTTTCTGCTAATTTCAGCTTGCTATGCTCCTTTCAGCTCGTTTCTGCACATTTCAGCTTTTTCTGCTATTTCAGCTACTATTTAGCTGTTTTTATGCTAATTTTAGTTTTTAGGCTGATTCCACTGGGTTTTTTTTTGGTTTTTTTTTACTTATTTCAACTTTTTTCAGCCTAATTCAGCAAAACGTTCTTCTGCTAATTTAAGCTTGTTCTACCTTTTCACTAGCTTTTTAGCCTTTTTTGTGCTGATTTCAGCTGTTTATATTTAAATAAATTTTTTGTGGTAATTTTTGCTACCTTCAGCCTAATTAACTTCTTTATGCTAATATCAGCTTTTCATGCTTCTTTCAGCTTACTGATATTTTTGCTAGTTTCAGCTTTTTCTGCTATTTCAGCTACTATTTAGCTCTTTTGGTGCTAATTTGAACTTTTTCAGCTAATTCCACATATTTTAACACATTTCAGCTTCTTCCACTTCCTTCTGGTAGCTTAAGCTTCCTTCTGCATTTTCAGCTACTTTTCAGCAATTTTTTTTTTTTTTAGCTAATTTCAGCTTTTTTGCCTAATTGACAAATTTGTGTGCTAATTTCTGCCTATTTAAACCAAATTCAGCAAATTTGTGTTCTTTCTGCTTTCTTCTTTTCACTCAGGCTTGTTCTCCCATTTCAGCTACATTTCAGCATGTTTTTTTTTTTTTTAGCTAATTTCAGCTGTTTTTCAGCAAGTTCTTCTGCAATAAGCATTCACTGCATTTTCACAGGAAATGCATTTTCTCTAGTTATACTTGCACCTAACTCTGTGAGATGTCCATTGCCTCTTAGGTTAAACGTTTGTACAATTTAAAGCCACTACATAAATTGAACGAGTTTCTTTAGACTCAGCAAAAACTATACAGGTCGTATTTTTGTCTTGACACTTGTGCTGTAAGTTGTCAAAAACATTTCCCATCTGGTATGACCAAAATCATGGCACCCAGAAGATTTTTTTTCCTCTCCTCTTTGAAGAGTGACTGCTCAGCTTTAATTTGACCTTGCCATGTGTTTCCATAAAACTGCAGCTGTGTTGCATCGCTGACTGTAATTAAAGATACGTTGTGTTAAGTCAGGAGATTTCCAGAGTCAGGTCAGCGCAGAAATGTTTAGTGTAAATCTGCATCTGTTGAAACACAATAATGACATGTTTATACTTGTCAAGTGTGTGTGTGTGTGTGTGTGTGTGTGTGTGTCCAGGTGCACCAGCGTAAAACTGCTGTACAGTGTGCATATTGCTGTTAGGTTTGTTTGATATAGTATGTGACTCCCTATGCAGTCCCCCCATTTCGTTCTTAGCTGTTAGTTAAGTGTGTGTGCGCTCACATGTGGGTGTGTGTGCTACCCCAGGGTTGCTCAGAGGGTAAGATGAGGTCTGCAGCATATCAACAACAAGAGGCAGTAATGAGCCAAATGTAAATAGTGTATTTCCAAAGGGGAAGTTTGATGATATTTTAACGGAACATCTGCTTCTTGTCTCCCGCAGACTCCGGAGGACCACGAGGGGGAAACAGGAATCAAATCCAAGGAGGCTCGCAAGTACATCTTCAACTGCTTGGATGACATGGCCCAGGTATGCTGTTTCAGAATCATAAAGCTGCACTCTTGCCTTCCCTCCCCACAAATCGAACCGTAGATGTATTATTAGCTTTTTGCTCTGCCTATTTCTTTTTTTTTTTAATTTTGCTTCGATCACATTCACCTAGCTCGTGTGCATAGTTTCTTTGAAGGGGCTGTTGAGGTCCAGAGCCTGTTTTTATCCATCACATCCTGAGAATTATCTATCAAATATCTGAAGTCCTTTTAAATATTTATTCTGCCAAGGTCTGATCTCCAGCTGCAGTGATACGTAGAATTTTACAGAGCGAAATGAAAGCAGCTGTTCGCTGAATCCCCTACTCAGCTCCGCTGCTGCTCTTCGTTTTGCTTTAGTGCTATCTAATAACTTGCAGACATTTGAACCAAGCATGTGGTTTGACTGGTTAACAGGTTTAATATGTACAGTTTGCTTTTTTATTTAAGCTGCAGGGAGTGTTGTGGCTATGTTCCGTCTTGGTACATCTGCATTTCATGTAAGCATGTAATGGGTAAGCCCACTAACTGCAAGGCGCCCCTACCCTACATGTCTCCCACACTTGTTTGATCCAAACACATTCCTAACAGTTCTGACAAGTTTGTTCAAAAAAAGCATGGCTTTGCTTGCACCATGCTATGCCTCTATTATTTAACTTGTTAGCCTCTTTCTACCTGCAGTCCTGAATGTCGCTTGGAATGAATTACTTTCTTCATGGCGAGGAGTTCACACGCACCTATGACATTTTAGGATATGCGTGATAGTGACTGATACTTTGTTTTGTTCACCCTGCTTGCTTCTGCTGGCAGATTGCAGTTCTGTTTATGAAAAAAATGCTTTGTATACGTATTTTTTCCACCAACATATACTCAAATGTTTGACAGCACTATTGTCATCATGCTCCTGATAATGGCTTTGCCAAAAAAAAAAAAAGAAAAGAAAGCGATTTAGGTAAGTGGTTTCTTTTCTTTTGGAAGATAGTCATCCTGATTACCAACAAACAGCAGCCTCTGGAAACCATCCATGTGGACACGCAACACATGTAGCAACTTAAATGATGGAGACAATTGTGGTTGTTTAGTAGTGCCTAAGGCCACTATTGGGCCAGTATGGAATAACATGTGGTCAGCTGGGACAAGACGGCATCACTTCCTGGGATTGTTGAAGCTACAGTTACTGCACACATACACACATGGGGCAAAAAAGCCTAATGAAGCCAACCTATACTGCTATGATCTCCCCTGGGTCATGTATGTCTCTTCTGCTTCAAGCTCAGTGTCCTGGCTTCCTCTGTTGCAGCCAGACTGGGTTTACTACAGAAACACAGAGGAAGTAAAGCAGAGCTGCACAGGCCTAATGTGTGAGAAAAACGACCTGTTTTGTCTCATCTCACTATCCTGACTGCATAAACAAGTTAGCATTGTGGACATCTGTCTCTGTGTGTATAATAGATGATATAGCTGAAGGGCCTGCAAGGCAGAGGGGATGGGTGCCAGGAAGAGATAATGAACCCCCTTTCAGTCATGGGAAATGTGTGGAAGCTTTAGTCACTAATATATCTAATTTGAGCACATCAGACACCAACTTACAGTAAATCCAAAGCCGTTTCAAGGCTCTGATGCAGATGGAAGGAAACCCGGAGCCACTCAAAAGTGGATTCACTTTGATCTGCGATCCTCCGGTATCGCTGCTGATAGGAGTGAAGGCTTGGCAGGAGGCGCAACATGGTCTTCACTTTATATTTCATTTATTGTATTTACATAGAAATGCACTTTTTTAATTTTTCCAAAAAGCCTTCCTATTGAGAAATTAGGTGCCAAGTTTATACATAACTCTGTACATGCTGTGGGACATTGGCTTGCATTCTGTATGTTGTGCTCGTCATCTCCCGGGGCCTGGTCTGTCTTACAGCTCGACATCTGCCAGCCCTGTCTTTTTTTTTCTACAATGGCATGTTCTTGCTCTTTGCATCGCATGTGATTGACCCTGGTAGTTGTTTCAAAATCCTGGTTTTACGTTGTCTAATTTCCAGTATCATGTTTAGAGAAATAAAACAACTAAAGCTACGAAAGCCACATGTCTTAATTTATTGGAAATATACAAATGATTTATGAACCTTCAACCTTCTTATTAGATAATTAGGCTTTTTTTGTCAGCTCTTAACTGTGCACATTTCCCCAAAGTCATCTCCCTGCAGAGGACAATGTGTGATTATTTTTCACCTCATTCTTGCAGATTATTTCTTTATCAAAGCCAATGGAGATGGCAAACAAAGAGGAATGGGTGCAGAAGCTGAATAGGCTGCATATAGATAGAAGATTGAATCAGATTTGCGGTGTTGACTGGCAGCACATCTGATAGACCCTGGAGCAGGCCTACAGATAAGCGTTGCGTCTTTATGAAAAACAGGCCTGCTTCTCGCGGCACAACAGTCACAATAAACAAGGCTGCCTGTCTGTTGCCACAGTCTCATCCTCACTCTGCCTGACAATCTGCTTGTTCGCCGAGTACCAGACTGGCTACATCCTGACCTTGTCCCTCTTTCTTTACTCCTCACCAGATATGAGGATGCTAAAAGTAGCTCTAAAAATCAGAATCACTGGCTTGCAAAACAACTACGGTAATCTGTTTGTAGCATTAAAGAGGAAACCCCTTGCTTTGCCTGCTAAATATCCAGGGCTTAGACCACAATGTTTATTACAGTTGAAGCAACGTGATGCTTCAAGGCAGCTTCCCATCATTTCCTCAAAACATGTTTGCTAAGTCAGCTTTTTTTCCAGAGCTGCTCGCAAAATGATGTCCTCTGTGAAAGGGCTTATTTTTTTTACTGACTGGCCGATGGCAGAGTTTATCCGGTTCATGGTTTTTGTTTGTTTTCACATCTCGGGATTAGATAAAAATCTCAGTGGAGGCGCCAGCACATATTTCAAGTGGTGCTATGAATACCATTGCAAATGTTTATAATGTCACTAAGGTGCAAGGTTATCACTTGGCTCTGTGACACCTTCTCTAACTTATGAGGCCTTGTGTATTTTTAGGTTTCTTCAAGTGAATAAGACGACCTTGAGCACTCAAGATGATAAGATTTGCCTTCTGCTTTCAGGTGAACATGACATCAGATTTAGAAGGGAGCGACTTGCTGGCAGAGAAAGCTGACAGGAGAGAGTTCATCGACCTGCTGACCAAGATGCTGACCATCGACGCAGACAAGAGAATCACCCCCATTGAAACGCTCAACCACCCATTTGTTACCATGTCGCATCTCCTCGATTTCCCACACAGCACACAGTACGTGCCCCTCTGAACCCTCCGATGCTGTTCTCATAATTATCATTTTTAGAATGAGGCGACATCTACCACAGTCACAAAACACGTTCATCTTTCTGTCTATGCAGCGTAAAGTCATGCTTCCAAAACATGGAGATCTGCAAGCGTCGTGTCAACATGTACGACACAGTCAACCAGAGCAAAACGCCCTTTATCACCCACGTGGCCCCTAGCACCTCGACCAACCTCACCATGACCTTCAACAACCAGCTGAACACTGTGCACAGCCAGGTAAGAGAGGAAAAACAGAAGAAAAACAAAAATGACCTCATTTATTCACATCTTTTGAGGCAGACAGTGAGAGTAACCTTCAATGCTGTCAGAAGGAAGTACGTAAACAGGTTTAGCTGTCAATTATTACATTTATATATTGAATTTTAATCAATTAAATTTGGGAAAGCTGTTGTACTGTACTTTGCATAAAAATAAACACAGTGTAGATAAAAAAAAATTTTAAATATTCAACCTTCAAAGTACAACCAAAACATAATGAATATAACTTTTATATTCCTTAATATAATTTTTCCCTAATAAGTTTGTCAATGGCTCAACATGGATAACTGAAACAAACTTTGGGTGATGTTTTTTTATTTAGTCAGTAGTTAAACAGCCTGAAATCCAGTGAGTGGCTGTTTGTGCCCTTGTGTGAATGCTTAAGAAGCATTCACACTATTGTGATCCATTTTTCTTCCGTACGTTTTTTAGCATCTTTCGCGTTCCACAATTTTTGTGCAATTTCAACAAATCACATAAAAACGTTCAGCTCTGCTATGACGTCTGGTATTGGTGCAACTTTAGCTTTTTGACATATTTAGCCTTTTCTGCCACTTTTTGTCTCCAAAGAAAAGGAAATTAGCTCATTTTACATCCTTCAAATCTTTAGATCCGTTTACAACTTTTACTGCTCCTTTCACATTTTTTTTCTGGTTCAGCTTCTTTCAGCTTCCTTGTGCAATTTTTTTTTTTCAGATACTTTCAGCTAATTTCAGCTGTTCTGTGCTCCTTTTAGATTCTTTCTGCCAACTACAACAGTTTTGCGCTTCTTCTAACTTATTTCTGCTGATTTTAGCTTGTTATGCTCCTTTCAGCTTATTTATGCAATTTTCAGCTTTTTCTGCTATTTCAGCTTCTATATAGCTGTTTTTAATGCTAATTTTAGCTTTTTTGGCTAATTCCACATTTTTTGCGCTCATTTAAACTTTTCTCAGCATAATTCAGAAAAAATATGCCCTCTCTACTTCCTTCTAGTAATTTTAAGCTTCTTTTAGAATGTTTTAGCTACTTTTCATCAGTTTTTTGTTGTTGCTAATTTCAGCTTTCTTCAGCTAATTTCTTTTTGGTGCTCATTTCTGCGTTTTTCAGTCTAATTGGGTAAACGTGTTCTTTCTGCTTTCTTCTGCTAATTTAAGCTTGTTCTACATTTTCAGCTACTTTTTTTTTTTAGCATTTTTTTAAATTCAGATAAATTCAAGTTATTTTAGGTAATTTCTGCTAGTATCAGCCTAATTTACTTCTTTCTGCTAATTTCAGCTCCTTTCAGCATTTTTCTGCTAGTTTCAGATTTTTCTCTTATTTCAACTACTTTCCTGTTTTATGCTAAATTGAGCTTTTTCAACTAATTCCACCCTTTTTTTTTAGCTCATTTCAGCTCCTTCCACTTCCTTCAAATAGTTTAAGCTTCTGTCTGCCTTTTCAGCCACTTTTCAGCTATTTTTGCAAGTTTCAGCCGTTTTTTTAGCTAATTTCCTAATTTTTGTGATAATTTTTGCTTACTTAAATCTAATATAGAAAATATGTGAACTTTCTGCTTTTTTCTGCTAACTTAGGCTTGTTCTTCAATTTCAGCTACATTCCAGCATTTTTTTAGCTAATTTCAGCTGTTTTTCATGAAGTTCTTCAGCAATTAGCATTCACACTGCATTTTCACAGGAAATGCAATTTCTCTAGTTGAATTTTAATTCATTCATTCTTCTTGTGGGCACATTTTCAAGCTTACAGTTCTGCATCCCCACCTTGCTGCATGGATATGTGTCTGTCTGATTTTCTGTCCGTCCCCCAGGTCCTGTGGGATTGTCACAAAATGCTGATCACACACATGACAAGTCCCACTTCCTGCTTGCCAAGCATCCCTGGGCTTTCAGGCCATAAAGAATCCCCTTTTGCCAGGGTTCCTTTCTTTTTCCCCTCCTCTCAATTCTGTCCTCTGTCTCCTCTACTTTCCTCTCATTTTCTCAAGCTGAGCCTGTGGTGCTTTATCGCTTTGTTTCTATACCGTCTGTTAATCAAAACTGCTGACTACTGGCTTCTGCTGGGATCACCAAGCCTCTGGTTGCAAGGTTTTCCAGACCGAGCAGTTACAACTCCAGCTCCCTCCAATCACCCCTCTCCTTAGCTTACACTGTTCTCTATCACCAGCTATATTGAGTGAGCTCAAACTGTGTGGCGAGCGACAAAAACATAATCTTGCTCTGACTTAAATGGATTAACATTGCATGAACTTATTTTATTTTATTTTTTGCAGCTGACTCTCACATAGACAGACTTAAATTAGTGATTTATTCAATCCAACCTGTTTGAAAGCATCTTTGGTTTGTGTTTCATGGAACAAATACTCCTTACTGGCTGTAAAAAGTGAAATTTTTTAAAGCTTTTGTTTGCATCTGGGATGTTTCCAGCGCTGCATTAGTAAACCGCATGTCTTTTTTAAAAGTCAAGACATGTTGGAGTTACCTAAGCTTACATAATTATATAATGAGTTAGCTTGAAATTTTATCTTGTCAGGAATAGTTGATATAGAGGCCTGTTAGAGAAACTGGAACATTCACAAAATATCATAAACACTTTCATTCTTTAGTTTGCAAAAAGGGAAGTTTTTATTCTTGCCTGAGGTTTATATTGACTGAAACATGCACAGCATTTATAAACTGATGGCCATTATGGTATTCCTAGACATGCATATATTTTCAGCAGCACGTTATTCTAGGAAAGATTGTTCTGTCACTAGTCATTGCTTCCTGATGGTCTAATACTCTAAGAATTTTGTGGCATGTTTTTGCTCTCCCTTGAATTTATTTAATCAGTTGTCTCCATGTTTTAAGGCCTGTCCAAATTATTCGCTCAGTTTTCTCATGTTTTCATCGGCTTTCATCATTCTTGAGTTCCTGAATATCCATCATCTATCATTTGTATAGTTTGTTTTTATCCTTTTCCTGCTTTTTTATTATCAGAATCATTTTACCTTGTTGTAGCTCTTATCCATACTACAGTATTTCCTTCATCGGGGTAAATCAGTATCCCACCTTTTTCCCATCTGTACCTCCATCCTTATGATTTTTTTGTTTTATTTATTTCCGTCCCACCATTCCTTTAGGCCACCAACCTGGCTCCCTCCTCCACCAACAATGCCACCCTTTCCTTTGCAAGTCCTGATGTCTCCATACTAAACTACCAATCTGCACTCTACCAGCCCTCTGCTGCCTCCATGGCGGCTGTGGCCCAGAGGAGCATGCCCCTGCAGCCGGGGGCTCCACAGCTCTGTGCTGCCCGGCCCGACCCCTTCCAGCAGGCGCTCATAGTCTGCCCACCAGGTTTCCAAGGTAAAGAGATCTCACTAGTAAATATGAATTTGCATGTTTATCTAGGAAATGATATGGCTTGATACATGTAGCATTTCTCTGTTCTTTTTGTTAGTGTAACAAATACCAGTGTTCAGGTGACTGATGTTGTGGCTCTGTTTGATGACATCTGTTTATGTGTGTTATTTACGTCCAGGGCTGCAGGCATCACCTTCCAAGCACACCAGTTACTCTGTGCGGATGGAGAATGCTGTTCCCATAGTGACGCAGGCACCTGGTGCCCAGCCTCTGCAGATCCAGCCTAGCCTCCTCACACAGGTAAGGAACAGACCTCTAGTCTCAATAAAGGTGAACATATAAAGTCCCCTTAGATCTTGAAAATAACAGGGCCAGCCAAGAATCTTTATGACCTTCAACCTGCTGACATTCAAACACAGCTCCCTGTGTTGCTTACATCTTTTTATTTTTCCCTTTTTTTCTAAGCCTTCACTAAGAATAGTGTCTATCGATAGTGGATGGAAACCTCTCAGGGACACTGCCCCTTGCTGGCAGCTGTTTTTTTTTTCCCTGCAGGCATTCAGGCAAGCTTTCCTGTGCATTATCCCCCCCAACCACCCTCTCTCCAGGTATCCTGAGCAAAGAGGCTGCCAGGGTCTGATGCACTCAAAGGCAGGAGCTCCTCACACAGAGCAGGCCTTGAATGGAGCTAGCTCAATGGGTCCAGAGTTTTAGCTGCTAATTTACTGTTTCCTCAAGTAACAGAGTGTGACTGTGCATCACTCCTTTGCTCTCTTTCGTTCTCTCTCACACACACACACATACATATACATAAACTGCAGACAACTTCCATTGCCACACTGCGTCTTCCTCCCTATGGAAATTTCCATGAAGGCTTTAAATATCCCTGAGAATCCAGGGAGTTTGAAGTGCTCCCTTATCTCCAGTTAATCATCCAGTAGGCAGCATGGAATCAGCAAAGCTTTTTTTGTGTATGTCTGCACACATGCTTGTGTTTCTATGGTGGGTTAATCTGTCAGATACCAAATGGTGATTAGCTCCACGGCTGCTTCCAAGTCAGGCGCTCAAAATTACAGGCCTCAGCAGACCTTCAGAGGTCAAGGGAGGCGTGGATGGGGTTCGGTGCGACCACAAACACCATAACAACACCAAATCTGTGCATGCCACTGAGCTAATGAAATCATAAAAATATAAAAATAGTCAAATGAGGATTATTTAAGTTACATTAATGAAGCTGTAATCGTGCATTTTGCACATGCCCTGCAGGTGTTCGCTGTCACCTCTCTCTGCACACATGTTAAACAGAGACAGGCAGTAGTTAACATAAGCAGATGGTTTATACAGGCCAGTGAACAGTACACCTAATAACTGGGTGTATGGTGTGTGTTTTTCTCTGTGTTTATTCCTTTACTGTGGGAGGTCTCACGGGCATGACTGAGTTGTGCTTGCCTCTTAGTTGCGTCCTTCCCACCTGTGACCTCATCCTCTCAGTGTTTACTCATGTCACCCATGCACTCTTTGCCCATGTTGGACCGATCGAATGTTAGCCCCAAGCCCCTGGCTGTGCAGAGAGGAGTGCAGTGAAGGGTCTCCAACCCAGGAGGCAGGGAAACCAGTGGGACCTTTATCTGGAGCAGGAATGCAGAAAATGTGGAAACAATTGGGGAGTGAGAGCTGGGGCATTGAAAGCCCTGAGGTGACAAAGGGTTTTCACCAAGGCACTGTAGGTCGAGGTGGGAGGTGGTGGGCTTGCTGATAGTAATGGTAGGCTCAGAGAAGAAAGAAAACAACCTCTTAACTGGGTTACCATTTCAGGGCAGACAAGCTGGTTACACAACGCAGACGCCCTGTGAGAAAGGCATGTAGAGTGCCAGGAATGAAGATAAAGCCAAAAGGAGGAGGTGCAGGATGCAGGATGGATGTATTACAGTCTCTTAATGGCGTGTTGATAAAAGGTCTTGGATGTAGAGACCATCTCCGCTCCGGAGTGTTCCATTAGAGATGTCGGTCATCATTGCAGAGACAATGCAGTCATGCTATACCACAGATGACCCCCTGTGGCTGTGGACTTTGCAACCTACACCAGACAAAAACAGTATTTGTTCACAATCGGACAAGAGACCAGAATAACAAGTTTGTGTTTGAATATTTAGAAACACATAGAGCAAAGAAAATCTAAGCATGAAACAAAGCTGACAGTAAAGATCAGAACGAGATGCTGTATGCATGAATGAGCTGCTTGACAGAGCCTCTGGTTCCTTTGTCTTTGTCTTTCACTGTTTAAATGTGTGTGTGTGCTGCAGCTCATACTGATGGTGTTGTAAATAGATGCACAAACGGTATTAAAGGAACAATTCATTAGCCCCAACATTAAAGTGCTAATCAATAGAACTGCATTAAACTATTAGGGCTACACAGCAATGCTCACACGTGTTCAGGCATGCACGCACACATACACGTTTTGGCACATCTCGAGGCATATTATTCCAACTAGTCCTCTTGTTCTGCATAAAGAAAGACAGTGTTGCCTCTTTCAGAGCAACTTGAATAAAACTAGGAATTTAATTAGGTGGATTTGACACAAGCCGAACACATAATCACATCACACTCTTTTCATTCACTCATAAACATGCACACTTTGCAGAAATACCTGGAGTTAAAATAACTGGAATAACAATAAATAATAATAATAATAATAAAATAACTGGAGTTAGCAGGAGAGATCATATCTCTCTAGTTTTAGCTTCTCTTCATTGGTTCCCTGTCAAATCCAGAACTGCTCAGTGGGATTAACTTTTCTAAATAAAGGTTGAATGAATGAATGAATGGATGAATGAATTCAAAATCTTACTTCTAACCTACAAAGCTGTCAACAACCTAGCTCCAGCTTATATTAAAGATCTTATTGTTCCATATTTTCCAAACAGAGCACTTCACTCTCAGACTGCAGGCTTACTTGCGGTTCCTAGAGTTTCCAAAAGCGGAATGGGAGGAAGATCTTTCAGTTATCAGGCTCCTCTCTTGTGAAATCAACTTCCAGATTCTGTCCATGAGGCTGACACATCATCCAGTTATAAGACTGGGCTTAAGACGTTCCTTTTTGATAAATCCTATAATTAGGGCTGGATTGTTATGCTGCCTTAAACTTAGACTACTGGAGGACAAATTAACCTTGTTTTTTTAAATGATTTTTTTTTTTAATTGAATAGTTTTCATTTGATACTATTTCTATCTGGGCAGCACGGTGGCACAACTGGTAGAGCTGCTGCCTCTCAGCGAGCAGGTCCTTGGTTCAAACCCCGGTCCAGGGGCCTTTCTGGGTGGAGTTTGCATGTTCTCTCCGTGCATGTGTGGGTTTTCTCCGGGTACTCCGGTTTCCTCCCACAGACCAAAAACATGCATGTTAGGCTGTTTGGTAACTCTAAATTGTCCCTAGGTGTGAGTGAGAGAGTGAATGGTTGTTTGTCTCTATGCGGCCCCGTGATGGACTTGCGACCCGTCCAGGGTGTACCCCGCCCCTCGCTCAGTGATTGCTGGACATGGGCACCAGCGACCCCCGTGACCCAAAATGGAATAAGCGGGTAAAGATAATGGATGGATGGATGGACTATTTCTATCTTAACATTTGATTCTCAACCTTCCATTGTGTATCTGTTCCCCCTTCCTGTTCCTCTCAAACCCAGCCGGTGGAAGCAGATGGCCACTCATTCTGAGCCTGGTTCTGCTAAAAGTTTCTTCCTCATTAGGGAGTTTTTCCTTTCCACTGTCACCTTCATGCTTGTTCAAGTTGAGAGTCTGCTTCTCAGATAAATAATGGCAAATTATTATTTTATATATGAATGCGTCTGTTCAGTGTCCTGAGATGACTTCCGTTGTGACTTGGCGCTACATAAATAAACTGAATTGAATTGAAAAATACCTGCTGTATTTGTTCAGACTTGGTCTTCTATTTTTTCTTGATATATGTCTTTGTTAAGATGATAAATGAAAATCAGTGTACTATCAGTGTAATACAAATTATTTAAATAAAATCCACAACTTAATTTGCTCTCACATTTACAACATTTAAAGAAAACACAAAAATTGAACAATATTGCAAAAACTGTGGGTCTTAGCAGTCAATTTGTATGTTTTTCACACGTCAGACTTCTGTTCCTCTGCTTTTCTGACCTTTGAATGTCTGTTTATCCCTGATCTTGTGATTCTTCCACAGCAGGCCTGGCCCAGCGGCACCCAGCAGATCCTTCTGCCTCCAGCATGGCAGCAGCTCACCCATACCTCAGTCCAACACGCCACCGTCATCCCAGACTCCATGAGCAGCACTCAGACTCTCGCCAACTGGAGGTGAACGGTGCTACTTTGCTTTTCTCTTTGCGTCACACAATCTTATGTTAAATTGACACTGAATATTATAAAATATTATTATACTCTCATTTTGTTAAATCCACATTTCTTGCCGATTTATTTAAATAATCGACTAAAATTTTCCAACATGTTATTTTAGAACTATTTGAACACTTTTAAATTCATACAAACATCACCATAGTCAAGTCTGTGATAACAGAAATTTTAAATCATAAAGATTTATAATGTGGTTGTCCAAGACCTTTGTACGTGTTCTTTGTTCTCAATGAATAACCACCCCAATAATCAATGGTTCTTTCATGGTGACGGGGTATTTGTGCACGTTGGAACCTCATGTGGAGTTGAGCCTGTTTCTGAAGTAACCTGATAAATTGGTAAATGAGAGCAGGATATCTGCAGGGAGGTTGGGGGGAGCAGGTATGTCATCTATATGTATATATGGCTGCTGAGGCTGTGTATGCTTAGAATCAGTCAGAGCTGTCCATCTGTGGCAAGACAGTCCCCCTTCCCTGCGTCTCCCTCCCTTCCTGTCCAGTGGCAGCTCTGTGTTCTCCTCAGAGAGAATGTTGGGAAAGTGTTGCACCTCCTCTCTGCAGAGTTATCTTTCCACAGCTGCTGGTGTCAGCCCCTCTGCCCTCCCTAGTTGCTCGCTCATTTTTTCGCCATCGTTCAACCTTATTCGAGCAGTTTGTTGCTGCCACCCGCTGGCCTCTGTGGGACATGCTTCATCTGATCTTTATTTCTAACCAATTTTATTGATTTTTTAAAATTAATTTATTCATTCATTAAAAAAAATTAATAAATAAACAAAACAAATTCATAAAAAAAAACACTGAATGAAAAGGGTGCAGAAAGATAAAGACAAATCTTATAATATCTGCCCCTTATTTAAAATAAAATATATAAAATAACTTTAAACAAACAATAACTTGGGCTTGAACATCTCCAAAGTGAAAACAAAAACATCAGGCATCCTTCACATGGCACCATACTTTCCTAACAATTTTAACTTAATCCTCTTTTAAACATATAAATTGTTTTATAAATATGGAACAATCATTACATTAAACAATATATACAAAGCTTTGTCATTCAGAATCTCTTTTACTTTATACAGTAATGCAATTGATTGAGCTATTTTTATTCTTAAGTAATTTACATGAGCTTCTCATCAATAACAACACCCAAAATTTTATTTCATTAACTCTATGAATTTCAATACTGTCAATTTTAAATGGGACTTCGATAATTTTCTTTATATTACTAAATATCATGTAGTTTGTTTTTTTCTAATTTAATGATAACTTATTAAGTTGCAACCAAGTTTGTATTTTGATTTGTTTCAGTGTGGTATTTTTACAAGCATGGCCTCTTCACATGGAGATTTTTATTGCTGTAACAAAAATTGTGTTATATTTCAGGAATTCCCACCCTCATGGAAGCCACTATAATCCCATTATGCAGCAACCAGCCTTGCTGACTGGTCATGTCACTCTCCCACCCAACCAAACTCTCAATGTGGGAGTGGCGCATGTCATGAGGCAGCCCACAACCAATAACAACTCATCTTCCAAAAAGAGCAAACAGCACCAAATGTCCTCCAGGTACTCGAGCATTCAGGTCATCTTAGACTCGCTGTAAAAATAAGCACCACCACGAGTTATCGCTTTTATTTTATTTTACTCTCCGTCTTCCTTTCAGGAACGTGTCAGCCTACGAGGTGTCGTCCTCTCAGGTGGTGCTGTCGCCGCAGCGCTCCAAGCGGGTGAAAGAGAACACGCCTCCTCGTTGTGCTGTGCTGCAAAACAGCTCAGCCTCCAACTGCCCGCCCGCACTAGGATGCGCTGGTGGAGGCGGGTGGGGGACTAATGAAGCAGAGCAGGCTTCCAGCACCACTCGTGACCATCAGCACCAGCACCACGTCCCCAGACAGACCATCATCATCCCTGACACACCCAGCCCTGCGGTCAGCATCATTACCATCAGCAGCGACACGGACGAGGAAGACGAACAGAAACAAAATAACAGGTTAGCTTTGGATTTTAGAGATTTATGTGGCAGATGTGCTTTTAATGGGATTTTTTTTTTAATTATTATTTGAAATGAAAAGGGCTTGAAACATTTATAAAGGGCAACAATTTTAAATCAGCAAGGATAAAAAATAGACACATTTGATTTTTGTTTAAATATTCCAGTAAAGCATTAATTTTTAGGTCAGTATTTAGCTTCAGGAAAAATGTTGGCTGTCTACATAAATATGGAGAAACATATACCCCCTCTTGTATATATCTAGCTACATTTTTACTCAAAAGACCAGGATTCGATCCGGCGACTTTCTCACTGAGAGGCGGCAGCTCTACCAACTGATCCACTGTGCTGCCCCCTCTTATATTTATTGTTGCCATTTTTTAGTCAGTATTTTATGAAAATTAGTTTTGCCGTAGTCACATAAAAAATGTCCCCTCTGCAAGATGAACAAAATGTGACCAACTCATTTAAAATGTTTTAAAATGGTGCCTATATAAAAATATAAAGCATTCATACTGTCTGTTCTCTCTCTCTTAATTTTTGCAGCTCGTCTTCTAAACAGAGAAAGAATGTCATCAGCTGTGTGACGGTCCATGATTCACCGGAGTCTGACTGTTCGAGCAACACCAGTCCCTACACTTTGCAGTCAAGACGCCACCACCATCACCACCACCACCACAACAACAACAACAGCTACGACACAAAAACTACCATCCTAGATAACTACAATAATGGGAACCCACGCACCATCATCATCCCCCCTCTTAAAATGCAGAACAGTGAGGTCTTGAATGAATGTGAGCACCTGATGTCAGGTAAAGAAAGCAACTTGATGAAATGCAGCTTGTTAACATGTGGTTAGATACTATGGGGTGCCGTTTGTAAAGTTGCACAGTCAAAATTAACAGCAATATTTTTGGTTTATTTAGACTTTCCTAAGAAAAAAAATTGGGTTTGTTTTTTCAAAGTGATATTTTCACCATGTTATTAATTTATAAATGTCAAAGTTCGAAACTAAATATTTAATTTACGAGTTTACAAACTAAATACTTAACTTGAAAGTTAAGTTAGCAATATATTTAGTTTATAAACTAAATATTTATGTCCGAGCTAAATGTTTAATTTACAAACTAAATTTTAACTTGCAAGTTAAATGTTTAATTGGTGAACTAAATATTTAGGTGTAAATTAATTATTTAATTTCCAAACTAAATATTTATTTTCCAAGTTAAATATTTAATTTCCAAACTAAATGTTTAATTTCTAAGCTAAACATTTAATTCCTAAAGTAAATATTTAATTAGCTAACTAAATGTTTAGCTCAGACCTAAATATTTAACTTGCACGTTAAATATTTAGGTCTGAGCTAAATATTTAGTTAGCAAATTAAATATTAATTTGGGAAATTAAAATGTTTAGTTTGGAAAATAAATATTTAGCTTGGACATTAACATTTAGTTTGAAAACTAAATATTTAGTGTGGCGCTAAATATTTAGCTTGCTAATAACTAAATTGTTAACTTGCAAGTTAAGTATTTAGTTTGTAAACTAAATATTTAGCTTGTAAATTAAACATTTAGTTTGGAACTACGACATATATGAATGTATGAGTAACATGGTGAAAATATGACTTTGAAAAAATAAACCCATTTTTTTTCTTATTAAATAAACCAAAATATTGCTGCTGATTTTTGACTGTAACTTTACAAACGGCACCCCCTAAGATACAGCATTAAAGTGACTGTATTTGAGTTAACCAGATTTCTCACTTAAGCAGATGGAATGAATCATCAGAATTCATCTTACAAGTTGAAATCCTCCAATGGATCTGGCAATAATCACATACTGGGAGGCGTAACTGGAGGTGTTTCCTACCGGCAGCAGCGCTCAGGGCCACACCCACTTCAGCAGCAGCCTCTCAATCTCAGCCAGGTATGCTGAAACAGGAGTTGTTATGACCTCAGGTACTAGGGGTGTAATGGTACACCAAAGTCATGGTTCAGTATTTACCTTGATATGAGGGTCACAGTTCAGTACGAGTTTGGTAAGGCAGAAAAATGTAAAATAGTAGTGTTTTGATGTTGTTGTTGTGTTGTATTTTTCAAATAAATAATCGCTGACAGAAGCAGGGACAGAAAAACAAGCCACTTTTGCAAGTGGGGAGGCATTAAGGTAACAGCAGATTTTAAAAATTAATAAATGAAAATACAATAAAACAAAATCAAAGAGTGTTTGCTTCACTTAATTTCGTACAAAATAAAAAAAAGCAACACAGAACTGAAAATTGTCGCACAACATGAAAATGCAAAACGATTAAAATGTGAAACACACACCTCACTTCTCGGCCGGATGAATGCAAGTGTAGGAAAATGGTGCTTGATATCAGGGACAATGAATAAATGCACAAATGACTGTTGATTTATGATGCAGCTGCTTGCCATGCAGTCCTCTAAGATCAGTGACACCACAGAGCCTGAAACCAGCAGTCAGGTCTTTAAGCTAAAACATGTTATTCCGAACTAAGTTCTAATGTTAAAAATCTTGGTTATTTTTGATCAGGACATGTCTTTTATTCCCCACATTAAAAATGTACTAGAACCACCTTCTTCCACCTGCGTTATATTGTTAAAATTAGAAACATCTTATCAAAAAATGATGCAGAAAAACTGGTTTGTGCATTTGTCACGTCTAGACTGGACTATTGTAATGGTTTGTTATCTGGGTGTCCAAATATTCTTTAAAAAGTCTTCATTTGATCCAAAATGCTGCTGCCAGAGTCTTAACTGGAGTTGGTGGGAGAGATAATATCTCTCCAGTTTTAGCTTCTCTCCAGTGGCTCCCTGTCAAATCCAGAATGGAGTTCAAAATCTTACTTCTAACCTACAAAGTTTTCAACAACCTAGCTCCATCTTATATTATAGACCTGATTGTTCCATATTTTCCTAACAGAGCACTTCACTCTTGGACTGCAGGCTTACTTGTGGTTCCTAGAGTTTCCTAAAGCAGAACTGGAGGAAGATCTTTCAGTTATCAGGCTCCTCACTTATGGAACCAACTTCCAGTTTTTGTCCATGAGGCTGACACTTTGTCCAGTTTTAATACTGGGCTTAAGACTTTCCTTTTTGATAAATCCTATAGTTAGGGTTGGCTTGTTATGCTGCCATAAGCTTAGACTACTAGAGGACAAATTGACCTCATTTCCTAAAATTAATTGTTGCAATTGAATAGTTTTCTTTTGATACTATTTCTATCTTAACATGTGATTCTCGACCTGCCATTGTGTATCTGTTCCTCCTTCTTGTTCCTCTCAAACACAGCTGGTTGGAACAGATGGCCGCTTGTCCTGAGCCTCGAGGTTTCTTCCTCATTAGGGAGATTTTCCTTTCCACTGTTGCCTTCATGCTCAAGATGAGAGTCTGCAATGGAGTTAAACTCAAAACAGTCTGCTCCTCAACAAAAAAGGTTGAATCATGTCATCTGGACTTCGTTTTTTTGTTAAAAAGAAACGTTTCGCCCCTCATCCAAGAGGCTTCGACAGTCTGAGGCCTAGCCATCTGGTATTACCCAGAAGCCACCCTCAGTCTGCTCCTCAGTTAAATAATGTTATTAACTTATTTTTTATGTATATAAATGTTTCTGTTCAGTGCCCTGAGATGACTTCTGTTGTGACTTGGCGCTATGTAAATAAACTGAATTGAATTGAAATTCAGCGGTTATCTCCTATGACAGATTTATCGCCTAGTAACCTGCATCAATCCCAAACATGTGTTGAACTATCACAATAAGAAAACTTGTTCCATCACACCATATTACAGAGTTAAAATTATTTTCTCTATGTAAGTATGTACTGGTAGCTAATGCTTTAAAGAACTCATGTAAGCTCTTTAGAATGACAATAACATCAGTCCAGCAGACTTTCTAAAACATCTGTCATCTCCTCCTCCTCCAGGCACAGCAGCACATGGTGGCTGAGCGGAACGCAGGACATCGGCGACAACAGGCCTACATCACCCCGAACATTGCTACCCAAGCCCAGTACTCCTTCCATCACAACAGTCCATCTCACGCAGGCAATGTTCACCCACATCTGGCTGCCACACACCTGCCCAGCCAGCCACACCTCTACACCTACACAGCCCCCACTGCTTTGGGCTCCACCAGCACCGTGGCCCATCTGGTGGCATCACAGGGGCCGGGGCGCCACGCAGTCCAGCATGGGACCTACCCCCCGAGCATCGTGCACCAGGTTCCGGTCAGCATGAGCCACCGCGTGCTGCCCTCGCCCACCTTGCATCACAGCCAGTACCAGGCCCAGTTTGCTCACCAGGCCTACATCAGCGCTTCACCTGCCTCCACCGTCTACACTGGATACCCGCTGAGCCCCACCAAGGTTAACCAGTATCCTTACCTCTAGAGCAGACACTGACACTGGAGAGCCTGACACAGAGCTGCTGCTTCCTTTCAGCGCCCCCATCCCCCAATCCCACACAGAATTCCCATCTACACCCTTAACGTCCTCTCCTCGACCTCAGACATAAACAGAGACAGAGGAACATGCAATCCTCATGGAACTGTCATGTATAACTTGAAGAAAAAACAGAAAGACAAAGAAAAGTACGATTCATAGCTTCTTTTGAAGGGAAAGATGGCTTTTGAATTTTAGAGGGGTACAGTTCAAATTTTACTTTTTTTTTTTCTCTTCTTTAGGAAGGGCCAGATTTTGCTTTTGTTTGCCCACGTTTTGCTTTACTTACGAAAAGAATTCTGGCTCGTTAGTTTTACGAGGAAGTCTGAAACAGGTGTTTAAGGACAGCAAAGGTTTTCTGTCTTGTTTCCTTTTGTTTCCCCCTCGTAACATTTGGAAAATGACTGTTGAACAGGGATTAATGACTGGAAGTTTGGAATCCTACAAGTTCTTTTTTTGGGGGGGAGGGGGGTGAAGATGAAACTACAGAAACCTGCTGCTCTTCAAAGAAAAAAAAAATGATGGCCTTGAACTGTCTTAGTATTTCCAAATCATTCGTGTGTGGGGAAAAGAGAAGCAACTCCACCCACTCCAGCTTCTTACGTAGAGAAGTGCTCCTGGAAATATAACCTACAGAAGACAAGAAAACTTTTAGTGTATTTATATATTTTTTTGTTTGTTTCACTTTTATGATACTTCAGTTTTATGTAGGTGTCTTAGCTGGGCCCCATTTCTAGAATGTAGCAGTCTGCACCTGTTTTTTTTTACCCGTATACTAATGATTTTACTTGTTCCTCTTTTTTCAATGTAATTGCACAAAGTGGTTATAATAACATAGGCATGTACAACGTGATTGTCTGTGTGTGCTACTGTCAGCCATGCGTGTGCAGTTTATCTCCTCAAAACCCTCTTTAGTCTTTCGAATTTGATCATTGTTCCCTCGTAGTGCCTTACAGATTTAACGACAGTTTACTCGGCTTGGATCCTGAAAGCCTCAAGACTATAGCTATACTTAGAGAGACGTGTTTCCCTGGCTTGACACCCTAATCAGGGCAGTTGTAGCTTTCTTCCAGGTGTAGGCTCAGCCCTTGCTGTTTCTTGCCCAAAATGACAGCATACTGCAGATGATGGAGATTAGTATCGAAGCAGATATCACGCTGAGCTATTTTATTACGTGTGCATGAGATAACTTGCCTGGCGTTCTTACCAAAGTCATAGAAAAATTCTTTGTTACATTTGCTCTGGACATCTACAGTATGTAAATATGAAAATGTACAGTATAGCTGTAGCTGTTACACGTGAGTTTTGGTATAACGTTTCAATCACAGAAGAGGTTTTCTTTCAAGGTTAAGAGCTAGTCTGAGAGAAGGGCCCGACAGAAAGTGATTGCTGCCATGAGGTGGATTCTGTTAGGCTGCAAACTGCTTGGCTGCAGCGAAGAGAGGGGACGTTTGAGAGAGGTGCTGTGTAGGCATGAGGTAAGGGGCTGGTTGAACGCATAGGGTCTGTTTAGGAAGGGAAACTCTCTTAAACGGAACTAAAATGGGAGCAAGTTGGCAATGAGCAGGTTGATAGTAACACTGAGCCCAGGTGGCTGGTAGGTAGGAGGCGCAGCGAGCGCTACCTCACCTGAACGCACACTTTTGTTGTCTTTTGCTGTTGGAACAAAAGATGATTAGAGGTTGATTTTTAGAGTTTTCTGCGTCATTGTGAAGCTACGATGAGAGAACAGAAGGGAAATGTTACAGCGTACACCTGGAAGGGCACCTCGTGGATGGTTTGTTGCCACTGTCCATTTGTCTTCGATCCAGGTACACCACAGACATCGCCACGCCAACCACACGGGATACCTGAACACTTAGAGAACCAATAGGGCTGTCGCTTTGTGTGTTTGCTGCTTGATTTAATCCAATTCATTTTCTCCTACCTGATTATACAAATAATCCCCCCTGTTCATATTTTGTGTTGAACATGGGCACATGAGAAGTGCTGGTGGTTTAGTGAAAGGCTTTCCCCCCATCCTTCATGTTTTGCCATAGTACTTGCATTTTGAGTTCTTTTTCTTAATTTAACATCTTGACATTTTTATGATGGCTGTAGTAGAAGTTGTGTTTATTTTTAGAGATTGTTGCAATAATTCTTGTGGATGTTTTGTCAAACTGCGTGTGTGCGCAAGTGTGAGTGTGTGTTTTTATTATATATGTCAGGCTCATTGTGAACCCTGATGTACAGTAATATTTAGTATTCCATGGAGGTGGGTGCACCTGTGTAAAGTGTTGCAACACTGCTGACAACAGAAAGTGGTTAACTGATGATAATCCACTGGGGCTCTGTTAAGATTCATGCTCGGCTTGAGGGCGCAGCACCCAGGTCTGAAGTCCCAGCAACCCCTTCAGGGGCACATGGAGTTGTCTTTTTTCCTCCTGGTACTTTCATCAGGAGCTCTCCATCAGCCCCAGCATGCAAGCCCTGGGTCCAGGCACTTGAAGATGTGATTAGAAAGTATGTTGCTAGTTACATCATTTGTCCTATTTTGCTGTTTTCTTTTAATATTATTATTATTATTATTATTATTTGCTTTTATGTATTATATTTCCATCATTATTGTCCAAGCACACACATACACGGGGGGTGGATTTTCCATAAAATTATTATTTGTTTCTCCTCTGTAATGAGTTGACTACTGAAACATTCCACTGTTTGAGGGATTTTAGCATTGCCCACTACTGTCCTGCCCCCCCCCACCCCCACCAACGTGTCCACATGGGGATAGTGTTGTCAAACGGAGACTTTTTTGCTCATCCCACCAAAGATTTTAAGAGCTCGCCCACAGCACGGAGCAAGCGACCCTCCACAGCATCACCACGAACAACCAGGCAATAATATCTAGTCTCATCTTAACAGGCTTAACTTTTTAAGAATGCATCGTTTAACGCTATGAAATGCATTTTAAAATATATTTACAAGATCAATGAGGATTTAGCATACTTTATGCATACAGCACAGTCTTTTATTTGTGTTTCATTGTGTTTTTATTTCGATTTTTTTTAAACACCTGGCCCCCGTTTAGATGAGTTCTAACTTATTAAACAACTTCTCCTCACATTGTTTTATTTTCTGGTGTTGATGTCGGAGCTTTATTGCTGTTGCAAGAAAAATTAATTTGTATTTTAAAATAAAAGGATTTCTCAATCGTGTGCCACGGAATGGAAAGAAAGACCGGAAAAGGTGAATAATCAAAAAACGTAACAACTATACCTTTAAAATCATGGTCACCTGCACAAAAAATGAATGTGATATGTGATCCGGCTACATTGGAAATGGCTTTAGTTCATTTTCAGTTGGTGATCATTTTTTCTTTCTTTGTCCATTGTTTGCGCTCATGCATTAGGCAATAATGTTAAATCTGCTCTCCAGCGTATATGAGACTGATCATGTAATGTTACCACTATTCTTGTAATGAGGAGATAGTCAGTGATTCCTTTTCTTAAATGAAACAGCCAGTCATAAGATGAAACAACGTGCATCATTGTGGAAAATAAGTTCAAGTGTGTGATTCCTTCGTGTGCGTTTCTGTTTGACATAACCAATGTTTTGTATTTTATATCCAGAAGGGGGAATTAGAAATGTGAGCATAATCGTAGATTGAGTGACCTTACAATTACCAAAATGTGCTTAAGTAGCGAATTATAATGTTGGTGTTGCAGAAGTGCGAAGAGCCTTCCCATCGAGCAACTTTATTGCCTACTGCCTTCCAAATAACCAACAATACCTCCAAGCTTTAAGGTGACATTTAAATTAGAGAAAACAAAACAAGGCAGCATTTCCATTTCTCCCGATCAAGCTGGTCTTTTTTTTTTTTTGTTACTTTCCTGTGAAATGTACTCAAACTTCCCTTTTGGAAACACCGACAAACATTCCTGAGATTGTGACACTGCAACATGGCTCATATTCAAACAAAGTCATGTAACTTTCAATTAAAGAAAGGTGTCGGGTAGTAATGAACTCTTAACTGCTAAAAATTCTAGTTACACAAACATTCTGAAAGCCCTTTTGGATGCATGTCTTTTAAAAATGATTTTTATTTCTTTGTTAGGGGGTTTGCTTTTGTTGCTGGTTATTCCTCGAGGGGATTCAGGGTGGGGCAGTCATGGTTTGATGCCATCACAAACACGATACATACATGTTATAATTTAAGAACCAAAACTGATTCAAGCATGATTTCCCACCACTTTATCAGCTGATAACAGCTTGCAAAGGAAAAAAAAAAAAGGTTTATCTCCATTTATTTATTTTTGCTGTGTTTTTAGCTTGCAAGGAATATAGGCCCTGATTTAAACTGAAACATGTACCATCTGATCTTATTTTTGTAATAATCTGAATGTTGTAGACCAAAGTTACGCTCATAACTAGAATGTCTTGTTTTCACTGCAAACCTTCTTTACCAGCGAAGACGTCAAAGCCCAAGAATCAATTCATAAAATAAATCAGAGTAAATTAGTGTTTAACAGCTACTGATGATTCAGTTTAACATTTCTAAGGACCTAAGAGTGCATCAGACCCTGACCCCCTTTTTGTGTCCATTGCTGTATGTTTTTTCTTTCTTCAATGTTGTAATATTTCCTTCTTTGTCAATGAAGTCAATGTGTGCAGCAGTATTTCCTAGTAATCTTCTCTGTTAATTGTCTTTTCTTAAATTACTTTTGTTTATTGGGGAGTGACGTCTCATTATTTCAATCTGTTGATGTAGCGTTTTATGTATTCCCTGCTCCTTAGCCTAACATTATCAAGTATGTTACAAGAATGGATATTTTACTGGCTTTATAGAATGTTTAAATAAATATAATAATGACAATAAGAAAAATGATTAATTAAACCTCCTAACAAGTCGAGTACATTCTACTAAGCGCTTGTGTTTCCATTATGATGTTGTGTGCTTCTCTTAATCATTTTTGTTGTAGGAAAGCTGAGTGAATTTATATTAGGCTTTGAGGAAAAGGCGTTTATGAAACCATTGTAAATTTTACTGGAGGGTTTTAAGAGACAAACAGCTTCATCAAATAGAAGAGTATAGTTCTTTTAATTGTCCTCTTTACTAACTATAGGATGAGAAGGGGTTGCATTGTGGTGAACTATGTTATAGCTTGTTATTCACTGTTACTTTTGATCATTTTTTCGGTCTGAGAGGTGAATTGAGTTATTAATGAGAATTTGTATGCTCACATATGCATATTGTATATGTGTAGAAATGTAATCACACTTTGTCTTGGATTTACATTAAACTTGTTAAGTCACGGCACCAGTCTCTCGTTTCCTGCTGTGGTGTGTTTCTGGTGTGGTGCATACCCCAGATTGAGTGTATGTGCCTATGACAGGCTTTTAATATTTATCTCACATAAAAATGTGTAAATCCGATGAGAAATTCTTAATTGTGTTTTGTATTAACCAAGAAGTTAAAGAAACGCTGACAAAAGAAACTCTGCAGACGTGTAAGTTTTCCATTTGCATCAAGACATTTTGCTTTTCATTAAGATTATTTTAGTTTTTATTGGCACACCCTGTAAGTCTGGGTTATTAGAAAAGAACCTTATCATCATCATCTAAAAAAAAAAACAACGTAATTTGACCCAGTTTTGTAAGCAAGCTCAGAAAGTTTCATGCAATTACATACTAAAAATTGCTGAGTTGTTTAGATAACTAAATTGCTGGGTTAAAGATGGTGGTCAGCAAACTGGTCCCTAGGCATTCCATCTACAACTGGGTCAGAAAGTTTAGGCCATTAGTTGGGTCGTAGATGAGCCACGTTGGAGGAAGTGGAACAGAGAGCCCTAAACTCCTATGAGGGAACAACGCCAAGCCATTGGTTCCGATATGTGGATGACACCTGGGTCAAAATCCAAGCTAAGGAAATAGAAGCGTTCACCAGACACATTAACTCGGTCGATAACAACATCAAGTTCACCAGAGAGGATGCAAACGACAACAAGCTGCCTTTTTTGGATTGTTTGGTTCAGATGGAAAGAGAGGACAGCCTCAACATTGAAGTTTACAGAAAACCAACCCACACAGACCAGTATCTTCTGTTTGACTCCCACCATCCACTGGAACACAAACTCCCTGTCATCAGAACTTTACAACATCGGGCCGAACGCGTCCCCACGAAGACAGAAGGGAAGGAAAAGGAACAGAAACACATTCAAGAAGCTCTTCAAACATGTGGATATCCTAACTGGGCTTTTGTCAAGTCAGCGAGGAAATCTACAAAACACACCAATAAACTGAAAAAGGAGAACAGCAGACAGAAAAACATTGTCATCCCTTATGTTGCTGGAGTATCAGAGAAATTCAGAAGGATTTTCCACAAACACAACATCCCAGTACTTTTCAAATTCAGCAGGACTCTCAGACAGAGGCTGGTCCATCCTAAAGACAAAACACCCATACACAAACAGAGTGGTGTAGTGTATGCGGTCCAGTGCAGCGAGGACTGTCCAGACCTCTACATTGGAGAAACTAAACAGCCTCTTCACAGACGCATGGCTCAACACAGGAGAGCCACTTCCTCTGAACAAGATTCAGCTGTTCACCTCCACCTCACAGATAAAGGACACTCTTTTGAGGACCAAAATGTGCACATTTTGGACAAAGAACACAGATGGTTTGAGAGGGGGGTGAAGGAAGCAATTTATATAAAAAGAGAAAAGCCGTCTCTTAACAGAGGAGGAGGCCTCAGATTTCCACTTTCAAAAACCTATAATGCAACTTTAAGACTGATTCCCAGCCGGTTTTCACACCTGATGGGAACAGAGGGGTCTCATCTGTGAATTAGAGTAACAAAGACCTTAAGAAGCCCCCTACTGTTAAGGTGTGGAGGTGTGACTTGTCAAACCTACATATATGTGTGTGTGTCTTATCTCCCTCAGCCTTATAACCTGAATCTCTCACTCTCTGCTCTTTGAATTGAGAAAGCTCCTCGGATGAGGAGCGAAACGTCTTCTGTTACAAATAAAGTCCAGTTGTTTTTGTATTGAACGCTTTTTGAACTTCCAGTTTCTGTCCGTGAAGCTGACACATTATACAGTTTTAATACTGGGCTTAAGACTTTCCTTTTTGATCAATCCTATAATTAGGGTTGGATTGTTATGCTGCCATAGGCTTAGACTACTGAAAGACAAAATGACCTAACTTCCTTAAATTAATTGTTAAAATTGACTAGTTTTCATTTGATACTTTTTCTATCTTAACATGTGATTCTTGACCTGCCATTATGTATCTGTTCTTCTCAAACCCAGCCGGTCGAAGCAGATGACCGCTTGTTCTGAGCCTGGTTCTGCTACAGGTTTCTTCCTCATGAGGGAGTTTTTCCTTTCCACTGTCGCCTTCATGCTTGCCCAAGATGAGAGTCTGTGATGAAGTTAAACTCAAAGCAGTGTGCTCCTCAGATAAATAATGTTATTAACTTATTTTTATGTTTGTGAATGTTTCTGTTCAGTGCCCTGAAATGACTTCTGTTGTGACTTGGCTCTATATAAATAAACTAAATTGAATTTAATTGAATTTAAACCCACCCAAGTTTGGCAATTTTTTTCCATTTCTGGATTGAAAAATTAGGGTGTTTTAAACCCAGAAGTTTTTAGTGTGTATAAGCATGGTTTTTAATGAAACAATGATTAATAAAACAAAATCGAAACATGACAGTGTTACGAAAAGTTGTAGACTTTGAAAATGTTTTTAAAAAGTTAGTTTGTGGGTGGAAGAATAATATGTTTTAGTATTTACAATTTCAGTTGGTTGAAATATAGTGATTTAATTTGCTTTAAATGGGAGTGGTGGCACAGAGGTAGGGAGTGGTAGAGCAGAGATTAGAAAAGGCAGGCCTGTGATCGGAAGATTGCTGGTTCAATTCCTGGTATTGACAACATCAAAATGTGGATGTGATAGGTGAAGCACCCACACTTGTCTCCATCCTCATTTGCTACACTCTGGTCCCTTGAGCAAGGCCCTTAACCCCCACCATTTGCTCCTCTGGGCACCCTAGATAGCAGCTCTCTGCTCCACAAAGATGGCTGTGGTAGCTCAGTGAGCTGTGGTTGTGTCAAGAAGGGCATCCGGCGTAAAAACAATTGCCAAGTCTTCGTGTGAGTTAGTTCGCGGTGGCTACCCCTGAACAAGGGAGAAGCCGAAAGAAAAAAAAAATCTACTTTACATGTGAGTAGTTAACTTATAATATAATGCACAGATTAATTATAAAACACACAAAAATGCATAACTTTTAGCTTCTAGACACATTTTTTTTGGGGAAAAGCACAGTGTAACTTTAAATTTTGTGCACAGGAATTTAAAAAAACTAAATAAAATATGTGTGAACAGTTGCTTCTACAACGTACATATTTTCAAAACAAGTTATATATTGTTTTGGAATTATTAAAAGCTATAATTTAATGATAATATACGCCACAACATTGAAACTGCTCCAGTCTCTGAAACATTTGCTTTATGCTACCACTAGGTGGCAGTGTGCAACTAAACGTCCACTGAAGCAGTGACGTGTTAGGATAAACTCATCGTCTCTATTTCATTCCCAGCACAAGACAAGACACACACTTTTACAAGCTGCAAAAGCACCGCGTGCTTAGAACCGTCTTATTTGTAATTAAAAACAAAGGTGAAGGGGAATAAATCGTTATCCACTCGTCTTTTAAAATGTTTATAAACGCTAATGAGGTTTTAAATTATGATGCAACTAAATAGTAACATTTATTAATAATAAAAAATAAATCTGCTGGGACATTTTCCATTAATACAAGTTGACAGAAATACGTCCATAAAGAGCATCATTGCATGTGGCAACGTTGCCGTGGAAGCCGCAGACGCCAGTCGACGAGGACCAACCTAATCAGTAAAGCTCACCGTGACGGATAAGTGCCTCAGCCAATCAGAGCGGGCCTTGGCAAATTACAAGCTAATCAGAGCTGTCAGGAGGCGGGGCTAAGCCAATCAAGGCGAGAGAAGAGCGTCAGATCAAAAGGAGCTACCGGGCTGCGTGCTGCGTTCACTGTAAAATAACTTTAAACGCAGGGACGTGGTTACGTGAAGGTTAAGGGGAAATTTTCGTGCAGCATTTTTTTCCCCCCATCCAAGGATATTTTCTTCTTATCCCAACATATGAAAAACAGAGTCGGAGCATTTTTTTTGCGGGGTAAGTCTGCGTGCGCAGCTATGAGAACAGCTCAGTCAGTAGAAACAAGAGGGGGAAATATCGTTTTATGTTTTGCTTTCAGAGCTAGCTTTGGGGAATAACACCAAAGTGTGCACGCTGACCAGCTTGTAACATATTTACAGTGACATTAGAGGAAGGTATGTTTTTATGAAGAGCCACGCGAGCTTTAGCAGCACTAACGGGACGGGATGTAGGACATGAGACTGAAGTGTGTCCTGATGGGAAGCTGCTGGAAGCTAACAGCTCAGAGATGACGTCTGTGTTGCCTTTCTGTGCACGAGCACGTCTGGTTTTGTTTGATGTAAATGTAGCCGCGCGTGTCTCGGTTTGACTTTTAGTAATGTTATATAGAAAAACATTTTGTTTTGCTGTTTTTGGCATTATATTGTAACCAAATCCTGAATCAGTCACCCAAGATCATTCTGAGCTGCTCCTCTATTTGTGGAATATGAAAAAGCAACAAAAAAAGTGTGTGACCTAATTTCCCCCCCACATTCAAAACAATCATGACTTTGTTGAATCCAACCTAAACACACCAGCAACCTTTATTTAGTTTAAAAGGTCCAGAGCTGAGATGTTGGTGAGCAGCAAAATAAAACAACAATAATGAAAACAATGTATTTACTTGCACAGCCACAGTATGACTTATTGCAAATGAGTCTGCTGTTATTTATGCTACAAGTTAAAATACAGTTTCTTGTTGGTTTGTCACTCAATCGCTGATTATCCAAGCGATTCTGAAAAGTAAAATCAAACGTGCTTGTTTTGCTACAGCTGCTCTTCACTGGAAGGCCCTGCTGCTGATGGACAGGGCATAAAGACGAGAAGACCCAGCCCAAGCCTCAGTTTGTCTGTTTGCAACCAACGTGCTCGTCTAAACTGGATGAAATGCCTTGACTCTAACCCGCCGCACTATGGCAGCTTTACTCTCCACTGTGGGTGTAGTGGTGCTGCTCAAGGCTCTTATCCAGTGTGCAGCGTTTCTGGGGATAACTGTGTTGGTAACAGTCATCACAGCGGGATCGCCTGTTGCAGGTAAGAGGACACCTTTTGCTGACTCACACAACACGATACACAAGCGTATGCACTGTTACACAACTGCCATAGATCAGTGTCTCGTAATACATTACATTTAGCAGATTCTAGCGGTAGTAGCGTTTGCACGCTGATAAATGATTCTTAATTAGTGTATTAGGGCAAAATGAATTGTAATTCTAATATAATAAATTGGATCATTATTTCAAACAAATATAATTAAACCTGTAAATACATCTTGTAAACTGTTTCAGTAAAATTAAATGCATATTTATTGTATAAATTGCATTCACTTTGTATTTAATACCTATGCTGCATGCATCGGTTGAGTTGTTATTTGATGTTAAATGTATATTTGGTGTCTTAGAGTCTCGAGGTTTTTATCTTAATGGATTTCCTACTGGTTTTCGTCTCCCAGCCTCAACTAGAGTGGGTTAAGGGGTATCAGAATCCTTTGGCCACCTACTTTTTATTATAGCTTATGCTATACTGCTAAGGATGGTAATACCCTAGTTATTTTCTTAGTATTTTTTAGGTTCTGTTTACTTACTATATATTGTTTTTGGCATGAATGCCCATTCTCAGTAATATGTTACATGATTACCCACATTTAGGAGATGTGAGGCACAATTGCAGGCTAGTTTGTGAACCTCTGAGCAGCTGTGCTGGAGTATTTAGGGTTATTTTATGTTTTACACAAAACCAACTTAACAAGCATCTTTACTGTTTTTACGCTGTTCCTCAAAGTACAACATAAAGCTTGTTTCCCCCGGTTACCAAGGAATAAAACAGTGTACGTGTTCATTAGTCAACCTTCGGTTTTCTTTTTATAGTATGTTTTCTAGACGCAAATTCATCGTTGTTTTTCCATTTTAAGTCTTGAGTTTCATGTGAACTGCGTCAGGACCCCTGCTTGCCCGAGTGCTTGATAAAGAATTTTCTGCAAAGATGAAAAATATTCTGTCTCTGCAGCGATCGGACTCGAGAGTTAAACCAATTTCTTCTAATTGTAACAAAAGAAAGGGCTTAAATCCATCCACTTCACGGCTGATTTCCATGAGTTTAGGTTTATTGATGCTGACGTTCTCCCATCAATTCACCTCCCCCTGCATGTTGACCAGGGATAAGAACATGTTGTAGGGGCAGACAAATATCCATGACGTTACATTTTATTGAGTTAATGGGGAAAAAAAATGCCAGCATAAAAATATTATACAAGAAATTGGTCATTTATAAGTTATAAAGCTTGGCTAAAATTAAAACACCCTGTATCCTGATGCATGCTCAATAATCCAGGTAGAAAAATCTAAAAAAGTTAAATTTGGTCCTCTGGACATTCAAAAAAAAAATTTTGTTTTGTTTTTTTGAATGTCCAGAGGACCAGATTTAACTTTTTTTGATAAAACACCCTGTTTTTCTTCCTAACTATTTATTTGAAACAACAACTTTGTATGGATTATTAAGATTTAGTTAGAAAATTGACCTTTTTGTGAAAAATGGAATTTCAGCCAAGTTATTAACAATTTAACTGCATATAAGCAGCTGTTCTGTGCTGAGGATATTACTCTGATTGTAACGACATCTGATTTTGAAGCTATGACGCAACAAATGTATATAACAAGTACTATAAACTACAGATATAGGAGTTTTACTGAGTCCTCTGAACTTGTCACATTAACAAGATGTCTTTACTACAGTTCTGGAAAATAGTTTCATTGCAGCATTTAGCCACTACAGATATGTTAGCTTAGTGCTCACACTCTCACACCGGCATGCACTTTGTGTTATTATAGTTGGTGTCGTTGCTATAATCATAAGTGCCAAAGCACAATACTGTCAGGAATGGCCAATGCTGCGTCATCATATGGCTGTGGTTAAAATCACAGCTCTCTCATCAGGCTCAGCAGCATTTTGTTAGAAACATTAACTTGCATGGCTCTCTAACTTCAGTAGTACAGCTGACTGGTCCAGCTCTAATTAACCGTTTCTTAACTCTACAGTATTACTACCTCTGAATTTGTACGCATTGTATGCTACTACTGTATATTATAGTGATTTTTATTTTTATTATTTGGGTCTGCTGAAATGGCTAGATTCTGGTTGTCTAACTTGAATGAATTTGTATTTGATTCTCTTCTTAAATACAAATATCAGAGAGCTTGAATGAAAACATTAGATCCAACTTAATTCAGTTTTAACTAGGGATACAAAAAAAAAAAAAACTAGGGATACACGATATTGGATTTTTGGCTGATATCGGATATGCCAATATGTTCAAACTTATTTCACCGATATTCGATACCAATATCGATTTATTTATTTTTTTATTTATTTTTTTTTCCCTAGACCTACTTACAGAGACTACATAGCTTTCTCTGCTGTGGAATTAAAATACTACGTTATTCTGCATAGTCTTTGGATGGATGGACTACTGGTCAGGTTTTGTTTCTCTGCAGTTGACCGCTCTCTCGCTTTCCTTTCTGGCCAACTCATCGTAATGGTCAGAATGGTGGTCCTTGAGATGATTAATTAGGTTCAAAGTGTCGTAGGACTTAGTTTTCGCTCCTCCTCGCATAACTGACGCTGAGCAGTCATTGCAAATAGCAGTTCTGCTATCAGTTTCCGACAATTTAAAAAACTTCCACACCGCCGACATTTTCACTTCTTCCTCTCCCGCCGTGATCAGATCAGGTAGACACACGTGACATCATAACGTTGTGCTGGCGCTGCAGGCATCCTTATCACTGGGTTTTCATACGAAAACAGTGCCTTTTATATATACTGTATACTGTATATATATATATATATATATATATATATATAACAGCACCTTTTCTATTGGTGAGTTATTTTGATGGAATGGCTGATGTCCGATATTTAATTTTATCGCTAATATCGGCCAATGCCATGCCGATAATATCCTTCATCCCTAATTTTAACCTTTTTGCCCTAAATAAACTGTAATTTCTTTGCGTGTTAAAGAAAAAAGGAGTCCGCCTTTTGGGTCCTATGTGTTCAGGTATGTTACTTTAAGTTGATTATTCCCCACAGTGAATTATGCTCGAATGAAACTTTAAAGACTAACAAATGAATCTAATCTTTCCTACGTTTCCCACCACTCCATCTGCAGTACTGTTGTCAATATGTATTTGGTTTAGTGAATAGTAATAAATCTGTTACGCTACATTTGGCTGCAACATTACAAGAGATGGCTTTATTGTTCACCTATTGTTATGGAATGAACTCATAAACAGGAATGCATTTTTATTTCCATGGTTTGTTAAATGCTAAAATCTTTAGTCGTTGTAGCGTTAGCCTTTTGAGTTTCGAGGTGCATGGTAATGTTACATGCTCCTTTTTTGTTAGCTTCTAAACACAATTAGTTTAAGTTATTTAAAATATAAAACATCAAACTCAATAAGCTAACTAGATAAACTTCAAAACTTTTTTAATTTGCTTTGCCACAAAGCGCATTCAAAAATATACTTGTTTTTTTTCCCCCTTTCTTTCTGTGCACCACATTCTGGTAAGTTCAGTACAGGAAGCTAAAGACCAGCAAAGTCCCATCTAATTACCATTGCAGTCCACTGCCACATGAAATTTGATCCATGCAGGACGACAATATGTCCATTCATTATTCATTAGAGCTGGAAGGGGCTGCAGATCAATGGCTCAAACCTATCAAAAGCCAAACTCTGGGTATTATTGTGTTCACCAGGCCTACCGCCAGACCAGTGTGATGTATTATTGGAAAGTGGCCAGTAGCTGACCCTACAAGTCAGCCTGTCCCAACAATATTTGTCTCTGTTGGGAGCAGTGGAAGTGTCTGCTGGTCAAAAGTGGGTGAGTGGGAACAAACGGACTCATTTAGGAACAGCTCTTTAATGTTTGCAAAATCACATTTAATCACTGAAACACTGTTGTTCATTGTTGTGCTTTTCCAGCATCATTTTATAAAGCCAAACAGTGTTTTACTGCTCCCTTAGTCTTTTTCATGCATCATATTTATTGTTGTCCACTATTGCATACTGGTACTTATTTATATGTGTTTGTGAGCAATGTTATGTACAGTTGTTTTTTTTACTAGGGGACTTTTCCACTGCAGTTTCAGGACCATGTTGTTGTTTGAAATCAGCAATCTCTTTACACATAAACTAAATAACCACACGTCATTAACATTTATTGACAGGTATTGTCATGCTTCTTTAGAATTTTTTCATTTATGAGATTTTTGTTACTGGATTCATTGAAAACCAAAGAGTTGAGTAGTAGGCAACGGGACTTACTTTTATTGAAAGCCTTCTTCAGTTTATAGTTGTTAATGTTAAAGACGTTCAGATGAGAGGAGGTGAGACATTTTGAGGAACTAAAGAAGTGGCCATCTGTTCAAGTCTAAGGATTTCTGAGTCCTAAATGAGTGAAAATCTGTACCAGCAAATTCATAGCACACTTTATTTTTTTATTTTTTAGTTCAGTCCTTTTATTTTGCTTAGGGAAAATCTTATTAACCAGTGTGTCCAATTCTCAGCTGAAAAATGTGTTAACTTGTCAAAGGTTTGTTGGTAAATGATGATACTGTGCATGTTCTCGTATAGAAGGCTAATATTTATTATAAACTGATAGCTGTGACAGGGTTCTCGTTTTTTGTTAACAGCCTGTCAGCCTGTTTTGGTTTCCTGGGGCCATGTTGTGCCGAGCCCAAATCACTGCTGACCTATTTTGAGCTTCAACATTTTTGTTTCAGTCCCTTCAGCATTACAGAAGAGTTTAAAACCTACAAGTAAACACATAACCTTCCCCTCACTGACATTTCCTTTTTCATCTACTGATTTTTTTACTAATTGATATATGTGCTGCTGATCTCATGCTGCTGCTGATCTCATGTTGCTGTATTCATATCTGCTCATCACAGACTCGTGTTTGGGCTGTCGTTGTTACACCATATTGTTTTACATTATTAGTGTTTAGTGTCTATCTTAGGTCTTTTATTGTACCGTTTG